CGGGTAAGAAAGCTCGTCTCCTATTTTCTCGAAGCCGGGCAAGAAGTTATCACTGTGGAAGTTGGTGTTTTTGTTGTAACTGATGTAACGCAAAACGACGTCGCCGTAGAGTTTGACTTCGGAGATGGTAGCCTCGTTGTTGTTGCCGAGAGTGATCGGAGGGGAAAAGGGTAAGGCGCCGTGGGAGACGCTGGTGGAAAAGGAAGTCTCGGCGTCGTCGACTTCGAGAGCGATGGCACGGACGGCTAAGCCGTGGGAGGCGGAGAAGGAGCGGCAGAGGGCGTGGTCAAAAGAGGGGATGGAGGCAGTGGAGTGAGGAGAGATGTTTTGGGAAAGGGAAATGGAAGGGGAGTAAGGAGCGGTGAAGAGGAAGTTAAGTTGGCCGGAACGGAGGAGGTAGGAGGCATGGGTCATGTTGCCAGTGGAGAGGTCGGATTTAGCGACGAATTGCATGCCGAGACCCCAGGAGAAACGGCGGGCGGTGTTGGTGGCATCCGAACACCAGAATTCGATGTGGTGGAAACGGTTGACGGCGAAGCGGTCGGATTTGGGGTTGGAGCGGACGAACTTGGAGAATCCGACCAACTTGAAATCCTGGGTGGAGTTCGACTGGACCATTTTTTGTGGATTTCGAGGAGGTCGGGGATGGTAGGCGTGATATATAAAATGTGCGATGATTTTGAGGGGGATAATGTTAATGACGTGTCAAATTTATCGAATGCCATTGGGCTTCATCTTTCATAGTGTGAGCACTGACGCAAGGAAGATACGGTTCAGTGAATAAACTCTTTTTAAAATTAAAAATATCCGATATTTTTTCTTTTTGAAATTAAAAAAATAGGACCCGTGAATGGACAAGGAGGGCAGAGACGTGACGTCCATTTCTTTCCTTCTAGAGGGCAAAATTATTTAGGGTAAAGTACATAAATAATCTCACATATTAACTCATCATTTTATTTAGTTAGTTATTTTTTTTTATTTTTAATTATTAAAAGTTATAAAATTTTTATTTAAATATTCGTTATATTTTAAATTTATTATTTTTTGTTAATAAATTAACTATCGTTTGAGTTGGACGTTAACATATTAACTGAGATATGATAATCATTTGAGATTATAAGATTAAATTTTATTATATTTCAATCAACAGATTAAAGTTAAACTCAAATTGTAATTAATTTTTTAACGATAAATAACAAGTTTGAAACATAATGAATAGTTGAATAACAATTTTATAATTTTTAATAGTTTAGAAACTTAATAAAATAACTCTCTATAGTCAATGACATTTAATAATTTTTAATAGTCGAAGATTCAACGATATAATATTCTATAACCAGAACTATTTTTGTACTCTACCCAATTATTTATTACATGTTATACGCTGCTCGTAATGAACATATGGGTAAAGTATATAAAATTGCCATTAAAGTATAAAATAAGTTTTTGTTTTCAATAATAAAGTTTTAAATATAATAAAATTATCATTTTATCGTTTTATAATAAATCAATTACTTAAGTGTTAACTTTCTTTACTGCAACCATAGAAATCTAATGTGGCATATTTGGATGGCTAGTTGGCACTGTTTAACCACATGGAACCTTTTGACTAATCACTTCGACTTTTGCTCCAATAAACATAAATCTCAGTTATAATCTTTGCATTGTCAAAAATCTTCAAATGAGCGAAGATCACGGACAGAAATCGTATAACGCATACTGAAAACTTTCTGAATGAAATGTTTGGACACGACCAAAGCTCTTGAAACATGCGAAGAGTTTCTAGCATATTCAAAATAATTACATATTGTTTCCTAATGCATTGATTCATTGACAATGAAAGCTTGTGCTGATACGAGTTATTCAGTTGGCCTTTTATTGAAAAGTGGTACTGTATAATGTCTAGAATGTTGGTAATGCTAAGAGCATAGGAGCACATCCTACATTGGGAAGGAAAACCCCTTCTCGTATTTAATGAGTTACCCTTTCTCTCCCTTAGGTGCATTTGATTCACGGAATATAATATTATCAATGAAAATAAAATATTACAATGGAATATGATTACTGGGAATGATGTATTTTGTGTTTGGTTGATTTAGCAGGAATATAAGATTACCGTGTTTGGTTAAAAGAATAAAAGATTATTGAAATATATATTTGACCAAATTATCCTTATTATATATTTGTTTTTTTTAACAAGTTGAATTATACTATAATATTACTATAGGATATTTATATATTTTCTTTAAAAAAATTAAATTTATAAAATTTATATAATTTTTTTTACAAAATTGAAAATATAAAAATGTTTAATGAAATGGTAAAATTTTATTTTTAACCCCTAAACTTCATATAAAATTTTAATTATAGACTTTTTTTTTGTAAATCTAAAATAGTTTAAAAATAAATTTATAATTTAACATTCGTAGAATTTTTATTATTCAATGAAAAAATAAAAATATTTTTTAGAAAAAAAATAAAATGCCGATAATCCAACATTCTCTCTAAAAAATCCACTGTTGGTAATAAAAAATTATCGGGAATGAGATTCCCAACCAATCAAATGGGAGAATGTGGATTCCATTCTCCTGGTAATCCCACATTCCCCGAACCAAACAGACACTTAATGAATGTGACAAGACAACTTTCTGTACGCACATGCGCGTTACCGGCTCGATTTGTGATCATGATAATACATATGTTTTGTGTTTGTGAATGAAGCATATAAATATAAAGTATTTTTCTCATTTTTCATCATCCAACTCAAAATAAAGGAGTTTGCTTTCTACGAAAATACTTATTGCTTTCATAATTTTCCAAACTTTTTGCTAATCTCAAGAAACGATCGTTTACTGAAGTGATTAAACACATCAGGACGAATTTATTTTTAAAACAACGGTTAATATCACGACACAATTGTTCAATTTATTATTTATTATTTTTACAATTATCCAATCAATGATAACAATTTCATTTTACAATTTCTACCTTACCACTCAAAAGGTAATCATGTCCTATGGAACGGAACCTGTACAACAGCCAAACCACGAACATTGAGCAAGGATTGATGGTATGAAGATGTGTCCTTAAGGTATATTCTTCCTGGTTTGCCCGATTCCATCATTCATTTGGAATCACCGGATTTGTAAACGATGATTCTCCATTCATCCATTCATACCAATAATTTCAATATTGCATACCCATACATGTATTCTATGCTCACACTCGAATCCGAGTGACACGACATGTCGGTCCATGAAAGAATCATCTACATAATAATTTGTGTATTGCCATTAAACTTCATTATCTTCGCAGTTTTCCAAATTTTCATTCAGGCACATCCATGGCTAATAGATTTCGAGAGGGAACAAATATGTAGTCTCATGAACTACTGAAAGCTCTCTCGCTAGAAGCCAACACTCATGCAACCCAGATTGAGAGGCTAGCACTTCCATACATTGTCCAAAGCATGAAGAGCAGAAGAAAATTACGACTGAGATTTATGTTTTTTTAAGTGAGAGTTAAAGCGGCTGGTTAGAGAGTGTCACGTGGTTAAATAACACCAACATGCTACATCATACTTCTATGATTGTGGTAATGGTTGAGTAACTGATTTGTTACAAAATGATAATATTAGTAACCGTTTCATTATTTTTAAAACTTTAGTGCTGAAAACAGAAACTTACTCATATTCAATGATCATTTATGTAGTTTATCCTAAATATTTGTTAGTAAGAGAAAGGGATTTGGATTAAACTCGCGATTATAGGCTAACTAAACTCACGATTTTTAAAAGTTTTTTTTAAAATAATCTGTTTCAACTTTTTGATTATTTATTGACTTTATATTTATATTTTTTTATATTTTTATTTTTGCTCTTTTAAATTTCTTTAAAAAAATTGGGATATTTATATTAGAAATTGTCATTTCACTTACAGGAATAATTTATAACGTAATTATTTTAAAATTTCTTAATAGTTTGAAAATTGTTATTTTCACTTGTCAGAATAATATATACCTTAACTTTCATTTTTAACACAATTTGATATGAAATTTGATATTCTTACACATATTAATCCAATATAAAAATTTATAAATACACATGCTATCATGCTTGAATGAATCGGAACATGAAATTTTCATATCAAAACGTATAACTACATACCCTATCAATACATATAATAGTCAAATGCTTGATTTAAAGAAAAATTTCACATTTAAACAGTATATATATATTTGTCTAAACAAATACAAATAAAACAATAATTTTACAAAAATATACTCAATTTTAGCTACACTCACCTAATTTAAGTTTACTACATGCCTCAAATAGTCAATTTAATCTATGACTTTAGTTTTCTCTCTCTCTCTCTCTTTGGTTGTTCCCACCATCTCTCAAGTTTCAAATGAAAATTACACATACCAATGATATAAAATCAACATAAAAAATTACGATCAAACATTAGTCTTGGTTACTCTTGAACATGCATGAGGCCTAAAATAAATTTAGGGTTTATGATTAACTTTACCTAACTTGGAACTTAAAAGTGATCACACCAAATAAAAGATTAAAGTATGAGCTTTTCAAATATAGGTTTGGATTTAACACGCACTAAATGAATTTGGAGGATTTAAGACTTTCAATGTATAACCGAGATATGTTAGGTGTACATAGTAGGCTTGGCAATGATTCTATGAAAGTTGGAACATGCCCAATACCATAGGGTTTTGTGTGGTGTTATTATGGTTTGATTTTAATGTGGGACCAACATTATTAACGGTATCTATTTAGGCCCAATACCATAGGATTTAGTTATTATTATTATTTTTCTGGTTGATTTAAATGTTTTTCCTCTGGTATTACATGTAAACAGCTCAGATAATTGAAAATATAATCAAAATTTTTGTACTAAAATAATATAAATTGAACAAAATCATCACAGATTTTATGTTCATATTATAGCCAAACCTGTAGGAAAAAAGAGAGAAGGAAATCAAGAATAATATCATCTCTAAAGCACGCTTAATGTAACACATATTCTTTATCATCTCCTTCATTTCATCTTAATCCTCCGGCAATCTCTCTAAATTCAGTCATTCTGGTACGGCATTGCTTTGAACTAAGAAGATTGTTTTCCATGTTATTATTAGGCAGTTCAGAAAAGGAAGAAAAAATGCTATAGTTGGCTGCCACATGCATGCTCGCTTTCTATGTACAATCAAAGGCATCGCCGGGGTAGGGTTCAAGAGCTACTTCAACCACAGGTCTTAACTCATCCCAGTTTCCGTTACTAAACACATCGCCTACATCGCTGTTCTGATGATTCCAGAAGGCGGAGCAATTAGTGGCCGTAAACAGAGATTGCTGCATTGCAGAACTGAACGTGGATGATGACAACGATGGAACAGTGCGGCCTAAAAGAAAGTAGTTTCTTGCATCAACATGGTCCATGAAAATGTCTGGTTTGCTCATGCACCGCTCGGTGCTGTTTTGACTTTGAGAGCCATCTTCCAGGCTACTGCAACAAGTTGCGGAATCAGCTCCGTTTTGTTTGACAGTGGCATCGAATTTCCAAGACGCTGCCGCGGTTGCGTACTTCTTGTTCGATGGGACTCGTTTGAAGATGCGACAAAGCGTCCAAACTTCCTGCATGCATGCGGCTAACATTTTATTAACCATAAAATTCCGTGTTCTTATTAGTTAAAATAAAGTAGCAGATACTAAGCTTACTGCTTCTTGGGGTTCGGAGAAGTGATGGCCGTCAGGTGGAAGGCGAAACTCGTGCATCATCCAATCGGTCTTGGTGCCCTTACCGGCGCAACCTCGATAGTAGACGAGGGATTTCTTGAGGCCGATGCAGGTGCCGAAATGCTGCTGCTGATGGGGTTCTTTGGTGGATGATGAATAGATGGGCTTGTCGATCCCGGTGGCCTTCCAGAAGCCGGAACCTGTAACTCTATTCGGCCTTATGCTGTTTCTGTATTTTCTCCCTCTCCTGCAAAAGAAATACCACTCTTTCTCTCCCACATTGCTAACTTCTTCCTCCACTATGCATCATAATACACACATCATCATCATTCATTGTTTAATGAACCCATATAATATGCTTCATTAATGTAACTTTCTCCTCTGGAAAATTTTTTGTTTGAAATGTTTGATGTTTAATAGTCCCAAGAATTCATATCTTATTTAAAAGATATACTAGTTTTCTTCGTCTACTCTTCTAAAAGTTTCCTTTTAGAGCGTGATAAGTTCCTGCTATGTTTGAATTAATCCAAGATGTTAATTTATTGGAATGAGTTTGAAATAGTAGGCCCAAATAATCATCAATATTTCCTGGACACAAATAAAAAGGCCTGCCAATAAGTTCACATTGTATCTTCTTACACATTTCTGTTGATTACTTCAGTTTGGCAGAGAGCCGAAGAGCAGCTAAGGAGGGGGAAATCCAACTCAATCTCCTTATTTTCTTTGTTGAATTTAAGTTGATGATTTACGTACAGAGATGGGTCGAGGAAGTATTGGAGTTAGATAGTATTTTAACATAAAATTATATATTCGTTTTTATTACATACCGATATTTTAATCTTGAAAAACTCCACCATACGAAATAATTGTTCATAATTCATACCCTACTCAAGGCATAAATGAAAAAATGGATACATGTGACATACTCTGGATTACAAATATATAACAAAAGCCTTTTTTTAAAGATTCATAATTAGCATGAGATACTTACTTGGAAGATCCCAAGGATCATATTTGTAGATATCAATCTGTTTGATGATTTCGATACTGATGGGTTTTTTGTGGACCTTCCGATGCAGATAAAACCCGACGAGCTCTTCGTCTGTTGGGTGAAATCGGAACCCTGGAAGCTTTACTTGTTCCTCCTTCCCTTTCACTCTCTCATCACTTGATTCCTCCATTGATCTCTCTGTGTGCTTTAACCAGGTCTCTTAAAGTCCCAAAGCGTTAGTCTTCTTATAGCAATCCTTGGGGTCAAGACGAGACTTTTGATTAATAAAAGTCTTCCATTTGCTGATAAAGTAAAAACACATTCATTGTTTGTGATGTGATTATATATAATAAGACAAATGCTTAAATGGTTTAAATTATGTTAAAATATAAGGTAACTACATATTTAGTCACTCAACTGTCACTTTGATTCCATTTTGGTCACCCAACTAATATTTTATTTTCAAAATCAAACCTAAAGTTATGTTTTGGTCCCTCGCTGTTAAAAATACAACAGTTATGCTGACATGTCACACTAAGGTAAAGCGACGTCTGTTGGAGTTTGAATTTGTCTTAGTTGAATAAGTCATCTACGAGTATTTAGGAGATTACGTAGTGGAGTCTGTTTTACGTAGTGGAGTTTGTTTCCTAGTTTCTAGCTACGTAGTGGAGTCTGTTTCCTAGTTTCTAGCTTGTTTATGTTGTTTATTTGTTTCTCCTGTAAGGCTATATAATGCCATTGTCTTTGGTTTAATAAAGTGTCACTTTCAGCTTTATATTAGACATTTGGCATTAGAGCCATTTTAAAGAGAGAAAAAATACAGAACCTGTGTGAGAAAGTGATTGAGAGGATGTATGAGAAATCTGAAAAGTTTGTGCAGCCGGCCATCCCAAAATTTGGTGGCTATTACGATTTTTGGTCCATGACGATGGAGAATTTTCTGAGAATCAGAGAATTGTGGAGCCTGGTGGAAGACGGGATTCCGACGATGTCAATCGGAACAACACAGGCGAGTGAGGTGCAGAAAAAAACTGTAGAAGAGGCGAAGTTGAAGGATTTGAAGGTCAAGAATTTCTTGTTCCAGTCCATTGACAGAGAGATTCTGGAAACTATTCTTGACAAAGGCACCTCTAAGGCGATATGGGAATCCATGAAGAAGAAATATCAAGGCTCTACAAAGGTGAAAAGGGCGCAATTGCAAGCTTTGAGAAGGGAGTTCGAATTGCTGGCCATGAAAGAAGGAGAGAAGATCGACATTTTTATTGGAAGAACCTTGACGGTGGTGAACAAGATGAAGGTGAATGGTGAATCAATGGAGCAGAGCACGATCGTGAGCAAAATTCTCAGATCGTTGACCTTGAGATTCAACTATATGGTATGTTCGATTGAGGAATCGAATGATCTGAGCACGATGAGTATCGATGAATTATATGGCAACCTACTTGTCCATGAGCAACGATTGAATGGATATGTGCAAGAAGAACAGGCACTAAAAGTGTCTCAAGATGAAAGACCTAGTAGAGGAAGAGGTCGCGGAGTGTTCCGAGGAGGACGCGGTAGAGAAAGAGGAAGAAATGCGGTCGATCGTGCCATTATCGAGTGCTACAAATGTCATAAGTTAGGGCATTATCAGAACGAGTGTCCCGAATGGGAAAAGAAGGCGAATTATGCTGAACTAGAAGAAGAAGAAGAGCTTCTCCTGATGTCTTATCTTGAGGAACATCGGGCAAACAGAGAAGAAGTTTGGTTCCTTGATTCCGGGTGCAGCAATCATATGACCGGATGCAAAGATTGGTTTTTCGATTTAGAAGAAGGTTTCAATCGATCTGTAAAACTTGGAAACGACACAAGAATATTGGTGGTGGGAAAAGGAAGCGTGAAAGTACAAGTTAACGGAGTCACCCAAGTCATACCTGAAGTTTATTATGTCCCGGAGCTCAAGAACAATTTACTAAGCCTTGGACAGTTGCAGGAGAGAGGCTTGGCAATTTTGATTCGTGATGGAACCTACAAAGTATATCATCACAAGAAATGTGCAATCATGGAGATTAATATGAGTGGAAACATGATGTTCTTTCTTTTAGCATCCAAATTGCAGAAGAACACGATGTGCTTGAAGACAGAAGAGGTGATCGAGAAGGAGACGAATTTGTGGCACCGCCGTTTTGGGCATTTAAACCAAGAAGCCCTAAAATAACTTGCACAAAAGAATATGGTTATTGGGCTGTCGATGCTGAAGCCCACGAAGGAGATATGTGCGGTGTGTCTGATTGGAAAACAACACAGAGTATCAATGTCGAAGAAGAGCCTCTGGCGTGCATCGAGACAGCTGCAGCTGGTGCACTCGGATATATGTGGGCCGATTACACCAATTTCTCACAGCGGAAAGCGGTACATTTTGACTTTCATTGATGATTTCACTCGAAAAACTTGGGTTTATTTTCTCCATGAAAAATCGGAGGCATTCACCACCTTCAAGGCTTTTAAAGCAAGTGTTGAAAAGGAGATTGGAATCTTTATCACTTGCCTGAGGACAGACCGCGGAGGGGAATTCACGTCTAATGAATTCGGAGAGTTTTTTAAAACTCATGGTATCACCCGACAATTGACGGCTGCATTCACGCCATAACAGAATGGAGTGGCGGAGAGGAAGAATAGAACGATAATGAATGCGATACGATCTATGCTGAGTGAGAGGCAAGTCCCAAAGGAATTTTGGTCTGAAGCTATAAGATGGAGTGTGCACATCCAGAATCGATCTCCAACAGCAGCAGTAGAAGACATGACACCTGCAGAAGCTTGGAGCGGTTCAAAACCTGAGGTGGAGTATTTTCGTGTCTTTGGGTGCATAGCATATGCGCACATACCGGATCAGAAGAGGAGAAAACTAGATGACAAAAGCAAGAAATGTGTTTTTCTAGGAGTTAGTGAGGAATCAAAAGCATGGAGGTTGTATGATCCGGTTACGAAAACGATCGTGATAAGCAAAGATGTAATGTTTGATTAAGACAAAAGCTGGGATTGGAATCAAATCAGTGTAGAAGAGAAAATACTCGATTGTGGAGATGAAGAAGAACATAATACAGAAGAGAGAGATGGTGATACGGCTTGTTCTCCGTCAACCGCGAATTCGTCCTCGTCTTCTGGTTCGTCTTCCTCTTCCGCATCTGGTGGTGATTCGACACTGCCAAACCCAGATTCTCCTCTGCCCAGTCCAATTTCGTCATCTCCATCAAGATCAATCGAAAGAGAAGTGGTTGCAGGCCCGCGGGCAAGGAGAACACCAGGTTATTTGGCTGATTATGTCACGGGAGAAGGAGAAGATGAGGAAGAAAGCTTATCGGTCATGCTATTGATGATGATGATAGAAAATGATCCAGTCAAATTCGAAGAAGCAGTGAAAGATAAGGTGTGGAGAGAAGCAATGAAAAAAGAGATCGAATCGATCGAGAAAAATAACACATGGGAGCTAACTATCTTACCTGCAGGTTTTACACCAATTGGAGTGAAATGGGTGTATAAAACAAAGCTGAATGAAGATGGTGAAGTCGACAAATACAAGGCGAGGTTGGTGGCAAAAGGATATGCTCAGTGTTATGGCATAGACTATACCGAAGTCTTTCCTCCGGTGGCGAGGCTCGATACGATTCGAACTATACTTGCGGTTGCAGCACAATCAAATTGGGAAATTTTCCAATTAGATGTCAAGAGTGCATTTCTATATGGGGAACTAAAAGAGAATGTGTATGTATGACAACCGGAGGGATTCATAAAGAAAGGAGAAGAGGAGAAAGTGTACAAGCTGAGGAAGGCACTGTATGGGCTCAAACAAGCCCCGAGAGCTTGGTATAGCCGTATTGAAGGATATTTCTTGGATGAGGAGTTTGAGAGGTGTCCGAGCGAGCATACCCTATTTACCAAGAAGAAATGAGGTAAAATTCTCATCGTCAGCTTGTATGTTGATGACTTAATATTCACTGGAAATGATAGAGCTATGTGTGATGAGTTTAAGAAGTCGATGATGATGGAATTTGAGATGTCATATTTGGGAAAAATGAAACATTTTCTTGGGGTAGAGGTGAAGCAGCGTGTTAATGGGATTTTCATTTGTCAAAAACGGTATGCTCGTGAAGTTTTAGCAAGGTTTGGAATGGAAGAAAGCAATGCTGTTAAAAATCCAATTGTGCCGGGAACGAAGTTCACAAAAGATGAGAATGGCGAGAAGGTGGATGAAACTATGTTCAAGCAATTGGTTGGGAGTCTTATGTATCTAACAGTGACCAGGCCGGATTTAATGTATGGAGTATGTCTCATAAGTCGATTCATGGCAAATCCAAGGATGTCACATTAGCTTGCTGCAAAGAGGATCTTAAGATACTTAAAAGGTACAATCGAACTTGGGATCTTCTACAGGAGAAGTGAAAGCAACAGTACGAGACTTATGGCATTCACGGATAGCGACTATGCCGGCGATTTGGATGATCAGAGAAGCACAACAGGTTGTGTGTTTTTGATAGGGTCTAGTGCGATTTCTTGGGCATCGAAAAAGCAGCCTGTTGTCGCCCTTTCCACCACTGAGGCCGAATATATTGCTGTTGCGTTTTGTACTTGTCAATGTGTGTGGATTAAAAGGATCTTAGAGAAGATTGGAGCTGAAGAAGAGTCTGCAACCGTCATTCATTGTGACAACAGTTCGACGATTGCTTTGTCCAAGCATCCAGTTCTTCACGGGAAAAGTAAGCATATCGAAGTAAGGTTTCATTATCTCAGAGAGCTGGTGAATGGCGAGATTGTTAAGCTGGAGTATTGTGCAACAGAAAACCAAGTTGCATATATCTTTACGAAGCCGTTGAAGCTGGAGCAGTTCGAGAAGCTGAGAGCATTACTTGGAATTGTTAACTTGTCTGAAGTAAGCTTAATTCAGGAGAGTTAAGCTTAAGGGAGGGTATGTTGGAGTTTGAATTTGTCTTAGTTGAATAAGTCATCTACGAGTATTTAGGAGATTATGTAGTGGAGTCTGTTTTACGTAGTGGAGTCTGTTTTCTAGTTTCTAGCTACGTAGTGGAGTCTGTTTCCTAGTTTCTAGCTTGTTTATGTTGTTTCTTTGTTTCTCCTGTAAGGCTATATAATGTCATTGTCTTTGGTTTAATAAAGTGTCACTTTCAGCTTTATATTAGACAACGTCATCATTAAAAAAATTATCACTTCAATAGTTTTTTTTAACTGTG